TAAGGTTTTTATAAAGGTTAATATATTAACTATATCATTTTTCTGTAGTTCAGCTTTTTGGAAAATTTGGTTCAAATGATCATCAGAGAGGAAAATTGTGTATAAGAAAGCTATATTACTTGCAACAATATATCTATTTTAGGATATATTGTATTTGTTTATTAAAAAAAAAACAATACTGCTTTTGTTCTTATTATTATAGAATTAAAACAAATTTTTAATAAACTTTTCTTATCATCTTTGTTCTTATTATTATAGAATAGTTTACTTTAAAACAAATCTTTAATTATTATCATAAAATTTAAAGACAAATAATAATTTAACTTCTATAAGTTTAATTTACTTTTTATTATATAGTCAATTATTAATTTTTTTAAAATATATCATCTTTGTCATTAGCAAAATAGTAAAAAAAAATAATTGCTTTAATTACTACAAAAATTTAAAAACAAACACCAAATATAAGTTATATTTTTTAATTAATAACAATTTAACTTCTATTAGTTTAGTATACTCTTTATTATTTATTTAATATTAGAGAAGATTAACTTTTTTAAGATATATTGCTTTTATCATTAGTGAGAAAATAAAATGAATTTTTTAATTATTACTACAGAAATTTAAAAACAAATATAAGTTATATAATAGTAATTTAACTTTTATTAGCTTAATTCATCTTTTATTATATATTTAATACTAAAGAAGATTAACTTTTTAAGAAGTATTATCTTTGTCATTAGTAAGAAAGATAGTAAGGCATACTAGCTTTTAATTTTTAATTTATAATAACATAGTTTATAGCTCAACAAATTGAGTTAATTAAAAATTTTTCTTTAATATAAAATACTTAGTAATTTAACTTCTATAAATTTACTTACTTATTATCTATATTTTATTTAAATTTAGAGATAGTTAACTTTTTAAACATCTTATTTTTCTTCTAAAAAGTTAATTTAAATCATATCTCATATTACTAAACACTCAAACTAGAGATCATAAAATTTCAAAATTAAGGTATATGCTTTATAAAAAAAATATATTTCATATTAGAAGTGATTAATACCAAAGTTAGAAAGCTGTTCTAATGTTTAATAAAAACAAATTCTAAGATTTTTAAAAAGACAAAATCTAGAATCTAATTCCTATATAGTTCTCATATGATTTAAGAATCAAATCCCTGCTAGTCCTTGAAAAACCAGACCAAACCAGCTAGAATTCAATCCCAAAAGACCGATTAACATCCCTAGACTCAATCTTTTAAATCATATAAAAATACAATACATTTTATAGAACTTAGATCTGAATCAGATCCTAAATTAAATCTATCGAATAAGTCCATCCAATCAAATTAATTTTGTATTGTTATTCAATTCGGGATTCAAGTCCTGTAAAATGTGTTTTCATATGATTTAAGGACCGAGTTCTTACCAATCCTGCAGGTTCTTGTAAGAACCGGTTAGAATTCGGTCCCAAAAGACCAATTAACATCCCTAGTTTTAAAACTACACTATTCTAATATCACTTGCAAATTACAGAATTGAATTTGCTTTTCTAGAACCGGAGTTAAACGTTTTAAAGATACGTGATTTTTATAATAAATTATTATGATGAAAAATCTTACAGCGCCAACCAAAGCTGATTATTGTATACGTATCTAACCAATCAAGAATATCCTTTGAGTTAATCTACAAAAATTCATATTACGGTATTGTATGCTAAGAAACAATCATGTACCCAAACTATCGGGTTTGGTTTACATCCTTAATTAAGTTATCTATTTCTAAAGATAGTAAAAATAACGCTAACTGCTAAGTATTGTTAATATCAATGCAGGGCCGATGATTTTCTGCGGTCGATTCCGTCCGTACTAAAATTGCCTTATTAAAAAAAAAAAAAAAAAAAATCTCGTACAAGAAAAAAATTAAAATTTTCAACCGTTTTCCGTAGTAGTTCCGACACTTTCTGCATCCGCAGAAAATCATTGGCACTGAATATCATATGTGCAGTTTAATTTAGCAGTTAGTGATACAAGTGACACAAAGCTAACGAGAAAACTGCGTTATTGCTTTGTGGTTTGCAGCATAATTTCAAGGCACTTTCTTTCAAAAGCAAACTACTAAATCTCTCTAGTAGTTTAATTTTTTACACCTTTACGCAATGGAAAACGTTAAGAAAGTAAGTGTAATCATATATAATCATAATGTGACGCAACGTAACCGAACAAAGTGATATTTAATATCAATTTTGAGTGATTGCAAAAAATATTTCTTGATTTCAACTATTAAACTCGTATATTTTTTTCCTAAAGAAAATTGATAAATTCCGTGTTGAAACCGACGCCGCAGTTCAACGCGCAGAAGAAGCCGAGGCTCAAGTCAAAAAAATCGAACAAGAATTGACTGCCAAAGAGCAAGAAAATATTTCTCTTCAAAATAAAATTGCACTTTTAGAGGCTGAAGTTGAACGAGCCGAAAAAAAAATTTCTGATTCTAAACTTGCCAAAGAAGAAGAAGAGAACACCAAGAACATCTCTGAAAGTCTTCAAAGAAAGGTTGCTTTACTTGAAAATGAATTGGATAACACTGAAAAAAATCTCAGAGAGACAACAGAAAAGTTTGTATATTTATATTATTTATATTATTTAATTTATATTATTTATATTATTTATATTATATTATTTATATTACAAATTTTAATTATATAACGATTTAATTAATATGATCCATTTTTATCTAAAAGACTACGTCAAACAGATGTCAAGGCAGAACACTTTGAGCGCAAAGTCCAACAACTCGAAACCGAAAAAGCAGAAATAGAAAAACAACTTGAAGAAATGACTGCTAAATATCAAGAAGCCGAGAAAAAATATGACGAAGCACTTAAACAACTTGATGAATTTTAAATTTAAAATCGAAATAAACGACGAGTTAAAGTTAATCGTTAAAATAACTCGATCCCAAGAATAAGTTTATTTCCACCCATATTAATATTATCTGATAGTTTATCTTTATTATTTTTTGCTAATGGCTTGAAATAAAATATTAAAGACTGTGATCATTTTCGACCACACGCAACAGTTATAATAGTACTAGTAACAACAAATATTAATCATAAACACCTTGACTATTCTTTTATTTATTTGGAAATGTTGGAATTGCCTATTTAATTTAATTTATTATACATAAAATTAATGTGTTTTATTCTTTTTACTCTTTTGGTCCTTTGCTTTTTTTTTGATTTTTGTCGTTTTTTTTTTCCGTGATTTCTGTCATGATTTTTAATTTTTTTAAAGTTTTAGCTTTACCACTTTTAGTCCAAATATCAATAATCTCAGCTGGTGAATTTTTTGCTATATCTTTTATCTCTTTCAAATCTTGATCACTTGGTCTCCAAATTTCATCATGGACTTTCTCATATTCCCATATTATCGATGCACAATATTTATCCGAATGTATCTTCATGTCAAACTTTTCTTTAGCACCAATACAAGGCCTATTATTATTTATCATAAGATAAGTAAGGATAGTCTGATCCTGCCTATGATTACGTCTACTACTGCCTTTTGGTGCTATGCATTCTTTTATATAAGCACACTTTTCCCATTCTTCTATTATGTTATATACACGTACAGTGTCAAATATCATTCCTGCTCCATTACAATTGTTATAATCATCGTAATTTTTTCCTTTTTTCGAATCTTTATAATATTTAAAAACTCCTGGATGTGTCCATTTCAAAAATAATCCTCCACCACTAATTGGTGAAAAAAATCCATCATATGCATCAACTAACTTTTTAACATTATTTAATAATTTTATTGATATTAAAGTTCCTGAATCTAACCACATAATTATTCCTGGATATTCTCGTGAAATTTCTGCAATTATTGCTGGTTTCCACGCATATTCACCTCTAGCGATATTTATATTCCAAAATGATGGATATTTTGAAAAATTAAAAAGTCGATATTCGGTAAAATAATTTTTTTGATGAAGGTATGAAAGTGCATTAATTTGAAAATTTTTAAACCCTAGATCATAAACTATTATCCTAGGACGATGCGCTTCAGGTAGAGTTGATAATAATGATGACATATTATAAAGCCATGATTGAAGAGGACAAAAATGACCAAAATTTGCTCCCGTCACTATAGTGAATGGATATTTTTTTTGTGATAAATTATATAATTGTACATTTTTTAATTGACATTTATTACTTTTACTTTGGAATTCCTTTAATGTAAATTTATGATTATCATGTCTTAATAAAAATAAAAAAAATAATGCTAAAAGAACCAATGTTAAAATATTTAATGGACTCGAAGTTCTATTTCCAAAAAACTTTGACATCATATTTCTAAGGACTGTTAAAAAAAAAAAAAAAAAGAGAAATGTACGTACTATATCTTTAAAACCAGCTAAGTGATCGACGTAATAATAATCGATAAAATAACTCTTTTTATAAGCGGAGTCGCAGATATTACGACCCCCTAACCAGTAATTACCAGTCTCAAAAATTATTATCCCAAATTGGATTCCATTATCAGGATATTTTTGTATTAAGTGATAATTCCTTTCTATTTTTTTTTTCTTTCTCTTTTATTATAGTGTAACAAGTTTGACTATTAACGTATGTAGTAATAAAAATATTATACGTATTAGGTTTCAAAAATTATTATCTATACAATTTCCTAAAAAAGTAAATCCTGATCTACATAGCAAGTTTTACTAGTTCGCGGCTTAGGTTTCACTGCCATAACGATAATATCTAATATATATTATTATACAGTATATAAAAAAATTTTAGAGTCAGTGATAAGTAGATGGACTCGGTTGTGTGATGTTTGAGAATAAATTTTGAAGATTATCTAAAGTTTATACAAATCAAAATTTACATAAGTGATATTTGTGATATTTTCGAATATTTGTATTGTTACAAGTGCATAGTCTTCTTAATACAATACAAGTAATACAAGATATGAAAAAGAGGCTCTCAGTGATGTTCAAATGGAATATTACTTCACTAAGATAGTTTATTACAAAGTTTATAATAGAACAAAGATAATATTTTATTTATAATATAATATTAATAATACAAAATTATTTATTAATTTTTGTGTTAAAAGAATTCTAATATTAAAAAAATTGTAGATGACAAATCTAATTTGAAGCAAAAAGAAAAAGTAGGATTAATATAGTTTTTTATAATTAGAAATAAGAATAGTAAGAATAATAAAAATAATAAAAATAATAAAAATAGTAATAATAATAAAAATAATATAACTAGTTTATTTTTATTTTATATATTTTATCTGTTTCCAAGTTATTTTCTATTATAAACTATTTGGAATTAAGATATATTTAAGAAACTATCTAAAAATAATAAATTATACTGTTATAGAATAGATTTTAGCATAATTTATATTAGGAAAAATGTATTTGTCACCCCCCTGTTACATTAGATTTCGTCATAGGTCACATTTGATTGGTTAATTGAAATTAATTGATATATAATCAAATAACAAAATTAATAATTTTATTCGTATATATATTTAATTACTTTAGGTTATAGCAACTTATACTTAATTTATATAATTTATTAAAAAACATACTCTAGCTAACTTTAACTAACTATATTTATACACTACTTTGGCTATATCAATACTTTTTGAAAGGCATTTTTATAGTATTAATATATGTCCCGTGTTGGTTATAGATTCATAAATGTTTATGTCACTTAGTTATATGTATATGTACATACATACTATTATTTTTTACTTGTACGTAGCATTGTATTGCATTTATTTACAAATTAAAATATGTATAAAAGTAAAATAAGTGTAAAAATAATTAAGGGCAATTTTATGTATCAATATTCGTATATATACATAGGTATACTTTGTTTTAATTTGGTTTTGTACTGTTACCAGCACAAATAAGAAATATCTAGTGTACATGGCACCAATCTTGAGTAGTGCCCACAAGATTTTTTTAAGCACGCTGGTCAATTTTACATACATGCTGTTTTTTGTTTTAATTGTGGGCTTTGTACTACTACTAGCGCAAATAAGTAAATCCCAAGTTAGAGATGGGCAAAGTTAGTTACATATTATTACTTAATATTACTTAATATTACTGTGAAATAGGTAATAATAAGTAATTTTATATGTAATAATTTGATTCTTCGCAGCAATTTTTCAATTTTGATCATTCGC